GTAATTCACCATTTTCTTTCATGATTGGAACATTGATGAAACCCATTTAGACGGGCCTTGCACTTCTTGAAATATATCACTGTTTAGTAATTCCTTAATTTTGATTGCAACCTTCTCTTTAATGGGGATCGGTACACTCCACTTGATTTATCCCGATACCAAGTTTTAAGACACCCAGACGGACTGCTGTGTTCTTACCCAACATGTCTCTAGTACCCCCCGAAATCACGTAAATGGTTGTATGTTCCTTTCGTCCATCGACTTCGAGTATAGTTTCAAATGAACCCTCTATTGCCAAAGGAGAGTTACTACCATATGCTAATAATGTCTTGTCTGGTCTTTACATTTGATTAAAAGCATATACTTTTTTGCTTTTTTAACTCTTCCCACGTTTTGTAAGATATAAGGTTCTTGCGCAATTTCGAATTACACTTTTCCGCAATTTGATCTATGAGATGATCATCTTGGTTTTCGAATGCACACTTTTCGGCCTGTTGACGCAATCTTATTAAAAACTTCTCAAAATTTTCTCCTTTTACTATTTTAGCAATCGAAAAACATGCCGCTCATAAACTTTGCTCCGTTTAGGTTGAAAATACTCGTCGAGTTTTTTTATGGCTACTTTAAATACATCAACGGTTTCTGATGATTCGACATTGGCACCCGGTAAATTGTAGAATATTTCTTGTATCCCAGAGCCACCAAAATGCAATAGAGTAGCTCGTTTCTTGAGTGCTGATATAACTTCAGCTGCGTCCAGATAAATTAGTAGAGACATTTTCCATTTTTCACACCTTATAGCCATAGATGTGCTATCACATTAAATGTTATAACGGTATCATTATTATTATTATTTTAGGGGCAAACTGAAACAGTTTCTTATATATTTATTTCCAATTTAATGCTGGCATTTTAATACCCAGTCCAATTTAATGGTAGTAACTTAGTACCCAAAGTCCAATTTAATGGTAGTACTTAGCACCCAAAGTCCAATTTAATGGTAGTAACATAGTACCCAAAGTCCAATTTAATGGTGGTACCTACCTTAGTACCCAAACTCCAATTTAATAGTGGTATCTTAGTGCCCAAACTCCAATTTAATGATGGTATCTTAGTACCCAAACTCCAATTTAATGGTGGTATCTTAGTACCCAAACTCAATTTAATGATGGTATCTTAGTACCCTAACTCAATTTAATGATGGTATCTTAGTACCCAAACTCAATTTAATGATAGTAATATGTTCCATAACACTCGCCCTTCTCTTTCGGTTTATTTGTTATACCGGCTACTTCCTATTGCTGTGTCATTTACAGTATTACTAGTTACCTACTATGCAATTTACAGAAGTTGTGAAGTGTCCACGATTTTTTGTAAGACTTATATATGCCATGAAAGCGGTAAAATAGTATTTTCATTAAAGGCGATAAATATCACACCTACATGAAAAATGCCACTAAAATTTAGCTAACGATATTGTATTTCGGTTCGAATCGAGAGGAGGGATTAGTTACATATACTATTTTTCCATCAAAAATCTTTTTCAATAAAAGTTTTGCTAATAGACATATGTTAAAATAAATCATTATTTTATCATTGCTACATAAAGAAACTAAATTTTGCACACCATAAGCGTGGTCTCATATGCGAACATATAATTTATATAAATTATTAAAATGATCATATCAGGGTTAAAAACAATAAATCATAATTCATAATCCAAAGTTTTTTTCCGCGGGTACATTAATAGTTGTTAGTAATAATAGTTGCACATTAACTAACTAACTAACCTATTTTTGTTGATATCTTTATACTAAACAGGTATTTACCTTTTTTCTCGTCGCCACTTGTATTGTCTGCTATCTTCTCTAATCACTGTAGTGTAACACAGGCTCGGCACGCACTTAACTAAACACCACCACTCTCGCCCGAGGCTCTCGTGTAACTGACGCGGTGCGCTCGAGACAGTGACTTATATATATATATATGCAAACACTACACCGACGATATAGTTCTTATGGCAGAATCGCTGGAGGACCTAAGCACCATGCTCAATGACCTCAATAGTGTCTCCCAACGAATAAGTCTTAGGATGAACATGGACAAAACAAAAATCATGTTTAATGTCCATGTCACACCTATGCCGCTACTTGTTGGGAGCACTAAGCTCGAAGTTGTTGACGAGTATGTTTACCTGGGACAAATAGTCCAACTAGGTAAGTCCAACTTCGACCGAGAGGTCAATCAACGCATTCAACTCGGCTGGGCAGCGTTCGGGAAACTACGACACATCTTCTCGTCAGACATACCTCAAAACCTTAAAACGAAATTGTACAACCAGTGCGTGTTGCCAGTGATGACTTACGGATCTGAGACGTGGTCCTTCACTGCTGGCCGTATGAGGAAGCTCAAGGTCGCTCAGCGAGCTATGGAGAGGGTTATGCTCCGGGTTTCTCTGCGTGATAAACTTAGAAATCAGTATATCCGCAGTAGAACCAGAGTAACCGACATAGCCCAACGGATTAGTAAGCTGAAGTGGCAGTGGGCCGGCCATATAGCTCGAAGAACCGACAACCGATGGGGAAGAAAGGTTCTTGAGTGGCAGCCTCGTACCGGTAGGCGAAGTGTAGGGCGACCCCCCACGAGATGGAGTGACGACCTGGTAAGATATGCAGGAAGTCGATGGATGCCGGTGGCTCAGGACCGTGCTTTGTGGCATTCCTTGGGGGAGGCCTATGTTCAGCAGTGGACTTATGAAAGGCTGTAATGATGATGATGAATGATGAGATGGACAATACATTATAATTTATATAGCATCTATACTGAAAATATCAACAAAAACAGCACTATTTGTTGTGGGTGGAGTCGTCGCCATATTTGAGAAACACTTGACTTCAGATCACGTGACCTCATCTGATATCCTCTATTTTTCTTATATCTATGGTTAAAAACTTAAACTTATGTTACCCTGAAGCTATAAAATGTTTAAAGGTTATGATTCCTGTGACAAATCTCATCTGTGTCAAAGTGATCCATATAGGGGTTAAAACTTTGACACACAACAAAATTGTCAGTTTTTGATATATTTTATGATTTTTATATACTTTAAGTACCTTGAGCCAGGCTTCTGTCACTTTTGCTACCTGCGTGAAATAATCACCTACAATTGCGAGCTGCCCCAGGGATAGATCGCAGTCGGGGCTGGCGCGCTCTAGGCGATTGAATGTTAAAGTTTTTTTAACGCTGTTTATGAAAAAAAAATTTTAATACTTGTTGAAATACTCGTCAAAATAATTTTTGTGTAGTGTTTAGTATATTTAATTGTAGGATAAAATATTTGAAAAAGTTTTAATGTAACTTAAAATAATATATATGTATATTACATATCTATTTGATAAATTATAATGGCAAAACGTCGTTCCCACTAGCAGCCCTTAGCAACTACAGAAAGTCCGTTGTGACGTAGTAAGGAGAAAAGATGCGAAGCAATACGGACACTCGCGCGCAGCGAGAAAGTTTTATTTCGCTTGCGTGCGTGATTTATCTGATTAACAATAACTATGTAGGCTATTAAAACGTCGGCAAGCAGTCAACATCAAAAGAGTGCAACTTCTGTACGTAGTACTATTATTTATTCTGTGCTTGAGCATATGAAAACCAACCTGAGTTTTCTCTATGAACAAAGCAAACATCAAACAACAAGTCATACTTTTGTGCTATTTTCCTTTGCGAAGATCTTTTTTTTTTGGCGGGAACTTCAAACGAGGCGGTCGATTTAATTTTTATATTTATCGTTAAAATATCCTGTTCGGTGTAAATAATTGTACATTTTGTAAATTGTTAAAATGAATGAACCGGAGGATCCAGGTGGAACCCCGAAACGATCCAAAATTGTTCGTAAAAGAGGTACGAAGGAAAGTGGACCTGAAGTAGGCGGCGGTGAGGATAACTTTATTCCGTTTTTTAAGCCAGGTTATCTGAGACTTTATCCTGAACATTGTACAAATACGGACTTCAAAGTTTTTGTTGAAAGCCAGGACAAACAGGTTAAACTTGGAAATAAAAGCCCAGTTTACTTAAATCATATTTTTACTTCGGAGGTGAAAGGTGTGGTAGCTTTACATAGAGTCAATGCCAACAAAATTGCGGTTGTTTTTAAACAATACAACACTGCAAATAATTTCATCACAAATACAGACTTTTTAACAAAGCACAACTTGAAGGCGCATATTCCTGCAGCGCAGATAGAAAAAACTGGAATCATCCGATATGTGCCTACCAACATTTCGAACAAGGAATTATATACGAAACTGTCTTCGATTTATGAAATTATTTCAGTGAGAAGATTCACGAAAAAAGTCGGTCAAAGTACTGTAGGTCTCGAGACGGTCAGTATAACTTTCCTATCAAATGTTCTGCCCGACAACATCCAATATGACCTATTTTCGTTCAGGGTGTTTGAATATGTCCCACCGTTACAACAATGCTTCCGGTGCTTCAAGTTCAACCACCCTGCGAAAATTTGTAATGGTAAACAACGTTGCTCGATATGTGCTGGGGAACATAATTTCAGAGACTGTGATAAAAAAGAAAACCTGTGTTGTGTCAATTGCAGTGGTCCCCACCTGGCCATTTCCAAATCTTGCCCAATAAAAATGAAAAAAATACTTGAAAAAAAGGGTAAAATTACTTATGCCTCTGTAGCTAATACAATTAAGTCATCTGATTTTCCGTCTTTACCTGCACAGTCGAGCAGCATTGTTAAGACCCTACCATCAATAAACCAAAATGTACATAAATTAAATAAAAATGTAAAAATTGTAAATAATGTAAATAAAACAGTGCCTGAACCCAACTTGAACCAAACTCAACTTAAGGCTCAAATTGCAAACAATAAGAATATTTTGATGGCAATGGTCCAAACTTTAGTCGAATTAGGTAATAAAACAGATAATGAACCTGTGACTACACTGTTCATTAAAGACTTACTTTTAAAAAATCTGTCACAATAATGGACAGTACAGTACAGAACATACATCAGTTATGTATAGCTCATTACAATATTCAAAGTATACATAGGAAAAAATCCTTATTGTCTAAATTTTTAGATGAGCAAAATGTTGATATCTGTCTACTCAATGAAACTTGGCTGAAAGATACTCAGCATTTTAACATTTCGGGATATAATTTCCACTATCATAATGCCCAAAATGAGCATGGTGGAGTAGCAATTTTGATCAAACCGTATTTTAAATATAATATTATTCAAACCAGATTTTACCAAGACATTCAGACTGTGGCATTATTGTTATATGTAAGTGGTAAACAATTAACGATTTTATGTGTATACTGCCCTCCATCGAATGGTAACTTCAGAATAAGTAAACTGCGTGATATAATTAGAGATTTGCCTAAGCCAATATATGTGGCTGGAGATTTCAACGCTCACCATGTGGCATTTGGGTGTATGACCACGAAAAGTCGGGGTCATCAGTTATACGATTTAATTGATGAATTTGATCTATGTGTCCTCAACAATGGTAGCTTCACTACTATTAATTATCCTAACCGAAATCCATCGGCTATTGATGTCAGCTTTTGTAGTGCTTCAATCACTCCACTATGCGAATGGTGGGTGCATGATGATTGTATGGGGAGCTATCATTTTCCTACGCTTACTCGTGTTTCATTGTCAGTTGATAGATACCAAATTAATCCTCCCATTGAAAAATTCCTATACAACAAGACAGACTGGACAAAATACAATGAGCTGTCTATAACTGCTTTTTCTAATTTTGAAGTTAATAATGAGAATCCATTACAGTCATATGATGAATTTATTGAAAGGCTTGATACACTTAGGAGAGATACTGTGCCAAAGTTTGTCAAAGCAAACAACTATCGTTGCAAACCTCCAGCACCTTGGTGGAGTGACACATGTGAACAGAGTGTTATTAAAACTTATGAAGCTTTAAAACTGTACAGAAGAGATCCAACCATTGATAATTACATTAATTACAAAAGACTTAATGCTGTTAAGAAAAAGACTATTTCAGAACATAAACGCAATGGTTGGGCTAACATTTGTAATACTTTTAACAGAACTACACCTGTTAGTATTATTTGGAAATACATCAAGTTATTTAAACGAATAATATGCAATAATAGAACATATAAAGACGAATTTGTAGTCCCTCTTTTAGACAAATTATCTCGAAATGGATGTAGGGTTATTGATAATCTAGAAAGTTATTTTCAAATTAATAATAGTCTTCAGAAGTCCAGTTTCCTCATAGAACCCTTTACTTGGAGTGAGTTTTGTACAAGTTTACAATCCAGACGAAACACAACCCCTGGTTTAGATAATTGTCCATACATTTTGATCAAAAACCTAAATCAGTCCGTACAAAAGAAACTATTAGCTAATCTTAATGCTCTTTGGCACTTAAAAAAAATTCCTGAATCTTGGAAAACACAGTGTGTAATCCCTCTACTTAAACCTGACAAGCCACCTGAAGATCCTAATTCATATCGTCCTATATCTTTGTCATCTTGTGTTGGAAAGCTTAATGAAAACATGTTAAAGATGCGTCTTGAGTGTTATGTAGAGGCGAACAACATCATTCCACATGTTCAATATGGCTTCCGGAGAGGCAGAAGTTGTGCTGACAGCTTCATCTCTCTCTTGTCAGATCTGAAATATGCCAATAATAATAATAAGTCCAGTGTTTGTGTTTTTCTGGATATTGAAGGTGCGTTTGATAATGTAGATCCTGGCATTTTGGTTCAAGTTCTTTCTGACATTGGTATACCAGGCATACTTTGCCAATGGTTATTTAATTTTTTAATAGATAGAACTTTGTATATAAGGCATAATAATATTCTCCATGGTCCCAGAAGGGTCTCCAAAGGTACAATGCAGGGGGCTACATTATCTCCATTGTTGTACAACATATACACTAGTCAAATTCTTAATTTTGTAAATATAGAAGGTGTAAATATTTTACAATTTGCGGATGATCTTGTAATATATTGTACAGACCATAATGTAGATAGAGCTGTAAATAGTATAAATAATGCTTTAGAGCAATTGTACATATATTATAATGACAAGTTGGCTCTACAGATTAACCCTAACAAAAGCAAGGCCATGATTTTTAGTAAAGATTTTCCCTCTAATGGCATACTCTACAATAATCATCCAATTTCAGTTGTATCTAACCATAAATTCCTGGGTGTTGTCATTGATAACAAACTTTGTTTTAATTTACACATCAATCACATTATAACTAACTCTCTTAAGGGCTTAAATATTATAAGATGTTTAGCTGGTGTGACTTGGGGTGCAGACCCCAAAGTTTTAAGTATGCTATATAAATCTATAGTCAGAAGCCATTTCGACTACAGTTGTTTAGCCTACTCAAATAGTAGTTGTGTAAAAAAACTAGACATAATTCAAAACAAAGCTCTGCGAATTATTTCTGGGGCTATGTGTTCAACTCCCATACGAGCTATGGAAGTTGAAACCAAAATAATGCCACTGTGTCTTAGAAGACTTCTGCTAATAGAGAGATATTTACTAAAGCTGGTATCTGGTAATGATAATGTTCTCAAAAAAATAGTACCTTTTCCTTTACAATGCTCGGTCCAGCAGACTTCGGGAGGTGAGCTTTTACAAGGTTATTTTCCAGTTTTGCCTCTCATTGTACAGCAAATGAATGAAGATTTTAAAAATGTAATTAAACAATCAAAGTGGACATGCTACACATACCCATATTCCTGTATTATATTTGAGACCAATATTGTTACCAAAAATTTTTTTAATAATTGTGAATTATTAAGTTTTATTTCCGACAATAACTACTATACTTTGTATACAGATGGTAGCAAAAGTGAGCTCTTTGTGCGCAGTGCCGTTTATGATCCACAATGCAAGTTTGGTCAAAGTTTTCTTCTGGACCCTAAATGCAGTGTTTTCACTGCAGAGGTATATGCGGCCCTCGAGGCCCTGAAGAGGATTGCACATATAAATAGTTTTAATAATTTTTTAATTTTAACAGACAGTTTAAGTATGGTCCAAAGTTTAACTAATCTCAGATTTGACTTTAAAAAAAACTATATTTTGTATAATATTAAAAAATTGTTATTTAGTTATGCAAAAAAGGGTATACAGGTCTCTTTCATGTGGATTCCATCACATAGGGGCATAACAGGAAATGAGATAGTAGATAAAATTGCACGTGATGGAACCAACATGTTGGATGTTAGCTCCATAGTAAAAGTACCTTTGACCGACTGTTATCAATCTATTGACAACCAGGTCAATAGCTTATGGGTCGAATTTTGGAAACAAGATCAAGAACAGAAGGGTAAATGGTATGGAACTATTCAAGAAAAACTACCTGTAGCACCATGGTATAACAAACTGAAAATGGCCAGTCGGGACTTTGTTACCACTATAAATAGACTGCGCTTTGGTCACTCCACCGTCCCGGCCCACCTGGCTCGATTGGGCATAGTGGAGAGCAGTTACTGCACCTTCTGCAATAATTCTGTTGGTGATATCGAACATTTCATATTTACATGTGAGTGCTTTTCATTTGACAGATTGATTCTTGTCAGTGAAATTAGTGACATAGTGCAAAATCAAGTGACAGTGCAAGATCCCTCCCGCCGCCTGAGTGATATGTTAAAAAATAGATCCTATTACGTGCCTCTATATAAATTCATCAAAAATACAGTGGGGAAATTATAATAAACCGAATAAAAATACTCAAGACTTGGCCTAAAGGTCTAGATGCCAGGCCATAAACTCCAAAAAAAAAAAAAACAACCTGAGGTCACAGCAATCTGCAGCGCCATGCGATATCGTAATTATATTATTGTATAATATTGCTGGGATCTTTGTTTTATTTTGTGATTAGACGACGAACGAATTTTTTGTAATGTTCAGTATATTTAGGAGAAAACTTGTAGGTAGTTACTTAAAAATAAATTACGCAAGTTATGTATCCTAAGCCTAATCCGAAGGATGTGTACGAAGCCTAAGGTTTTAAATAACGGAATCAATACATAATTATAGGTCATTATAAAAATAATAAAATGTGAGTACGTTGTAATAAATTTTAATTTATTACATTATTAAAATAAAAATTAAATAAATTAAATTTACCTAAATTAACAAAAATACAAAGACATAATATTTACCTAAAGAAAAAATGTGCTTCTTACGAATCAATTGTACAAAATTTGAAACATTAATTCGGTCTCAACTTAAATACTCAGATGATTTAATGGCTAAAGCAGAAGTTGTGGAGTTACATCAATATTTAATGATAATGATCAATTCATCTTTACCAAAAGTTAGGGAAAAGAAAAGAGTAGTCTATATTATTTTACTGCGTGGTCGGGCATTAATAATATTATTACTACTCAGTATTTTTCATAATTTCAACTTAGTGTATTGATATTGAACAAAACATTAATTGTAATTTTAATGACTATTTAATGTATTGCTATTGTGGGAAAACAATATTTACGTTGATTACAATATTATCTTAATATAGAAATTAAATACAATGATGATGACTACAAAAAAACGAATACGTGTTAAAAATGATTGTGACAAACTTTTCTTTACCTATACTATAATTGAATTAAGCTTATCGTTGCACCAATTTTATTTTTAATTTTAAACAAGAGTATTTTTGTTTGATATATTTTAGATTTTTGTGACAATTTAAATTTAAAATGAAAATAAACTTATCTTCAAACTTAAGTCAAATCCTATTATTTTCTTTATAAACCCTGATGGCAAAGTTGCCACAAAGCGAGGTTAAATTTGCCATTTTCTATTTTTGAGTATTTTGTTCATTTAATGTTAGTATTTGGTTAATTCACTAATAAATACCAAATCTATGAAGAATATAATGTCCCATTTAACAATGACGCCCAGTCTGATTGTTTAGGCCAAATCGTAACATTTAAAAGTTGCATTCAAGACGCGCGGCTCGGCGTGTTCATCCGATGGAATTTTAAGGTCACCGCCGGCCCCCTCTCCCGCGCGCGTCTCTCCGCTGACCGCTTGGTCGCGAGACGTCTGGAACATTCAATTGAGTGCGCGGCCGCCGTATCGGTTAGATGTGTCGTAAAGTTACTATGAATTAATTGTTCGCGGCCGCTGTGTCGGTTGGACGGCCTGGAATTTACGCTCGGAACGTTAGGTCGCGTTAAGACCGCCTCCTTTGCGTTGTCTGTTTCGTGCGTTTTACGTGACAACGAGGCTTATCCTTGAGTTTTGAGTGATTGCCATTAATTTGCGTCAACGATTGTTTGTGTGGCAAGACATTTTTGCTTTGTCGGGTGGAACACTAAAACTTCGTGACCCGAGAGGAGATCGCGTTCGTTTTCGAGTATAAGTTTGTGCTAAGTGAACATGGGACATTGAACATTGACAGACAGTCTTAAGTTGTGCAGTGTGTCACTTGTTTTAAGTTCGATTAACGTTGATTTAGTTAAGTTTGAAGTTAATTAAATGTATAATAAAATTGATAAACTAATATAGTGAAATAGAAGCAGAAAGTTTTAATTGGTGAACGCCACTAGAGTGATCGCACATTGTGGAACAGAGCAGTGTATGTGGGTTTGCTGTCCGATTACATCGGTGACGTCAGGTTACATTTTACACACTTTCACACACCACTTACATCCACTTACTTACCACCTGACTGTGCCTTGTGGTCGACCCTACCTCCGGAACTCGGTAAGTTTGTGTTTGCTTATCAGCCATTATATAATAATTATCCATAGGCCATTCGGGCCCGAACTCTCTGTTGCCCGTCGAAGGTGTTACTCATGGGCCCTAATACAGTCGACTTTTGTCTGGGCAACTGGGGGCCGTAACACTGATTGTACCTACATTTTTTGTTGGAAAATTGGTCCTAAACATTTAAGTCTCTACAAAAATGGCAAAGTTGCCAGGTTTCACGGTAGCGCACATTCTTTTGTTTGGAATAGCTTAGAGAAGCTACAGTAGTACATTATAACTCAATGGTGGCTCCTAAGTGGAAGCTATGGCCCATAGATATCTACATTTCTTCTCGATTAACAATCAAAATGCAGATGCCTTATCACCCCTGAGGACTAAGATGAAATGCCTCATTTTCAGTAGAAAGGGTCTCAGGTTCTCTACATTCACCATACGAAGCAACAGCTTAAGGCTCTGCTATTTTACGCTAGTATTCTGTAAGAACGTGGTCCTACCCCGGTCGAACCAACCCATTCGTACTACACCTCAGTTTGTATCGGTTTCAGAGTGGACTAAGGAATATCACTAGGTCAAAGTAACAACTAGAATGTCAATTAAATAATAAAATTAAAATTTTAATCACCTGTTTTCCCACCCTTAGGGATGGAAAGTTTATGCCAAATTTATTTAGATCTACCACTCTTAATGAAGATATCGTGTAACATGTTCATACGCGGTAGAAGTGAAATATGCAAATGAAATCAAAATTTTTCACGGCAAATGTTTTATTTAAAATGATCAATTTCTACCAAAAGTGTGGCTTAAAAAATAATATATCAAATATGATATACCAAATAAATGTAATAATTCTTATTTTTAGACATGAAAAGCCTAAATTTTAATGTAATAAATCAAAAGAATATTTTCTTTCGTGTAAAATTGCTTTGTAATAGCACCATCTACTCAATTTTATACGTAAAGTCATTTTATCGAACGAAAATGGATTGACTCTCAAAGTGGTAAGTAAAATAGACGATAGGTGGCCTAAACACGACTAGTTTGATATAATTCTATCTCATTCTCTCGCAGACTAAATTGCTATATTATATTTGTCTCATTTTAGTGTCGCTTTTTCGTTTAATCGAGTTTCAAATCAGAAAGATTCTAAAGTTATCACTTCAAAATATACAGTTAAATTTATTGAACGGAAAGTACCGCTATAATTTATTTGTATTTTGCTTCTTAATAAAATGAATGTAAAAATGTATAATGTAAATGTAATGCCGTGTTTCTTTCTGTAACTCACAATAGAAGCAATGAGCATGATCTCCTATTTTTAAAAAACTATATTGAGATCGAATAAAAACACATTCTATGCTCATTGCAAAGCATATAATTGCTAATACTTGAGCAGAGTGACTCTTGTAAAAGTTTAAAAACTTTATAAGGTACAAATAAATACTTTTATAATTTGATTTACCTACTTGATTTGTTTATGCTGTTTACTATTAGAGGTGTTGCATATCCTAATTAGTAAACTGACCGTTGTAAATGAAGCTCAATTCCGTAATTTTTATTCTGAACCATTGTTTTTTTTTTATGTTTTATGATTATTGTGTATGCATCCATTGAGTCTACGAAATTACTTATATGGCCATTATATGGGCATAATCTTTTAAGCTGCTGCAGATATTTCGTAGAACATAATTTTTAGTTAGTAGAATTTGATAGATTTCTACTATGATTAGTAAATTTGTCAAATATAATCTGGTCACTCTGTTACTGAACACGACAAGACAAGTTCAAGTACTGATGTGACGAGTTGGATTTTTTTTGACTCGAGTTGCTCGAGTTCATATGGCTACTGACTCGAATCGTAACTCGAGTTGACTCGAATCGATGTCTGCTGTAGGGAAAGAGAGGCGACTCGGCCGACTCGGGGACCACGAGTCAGCTCGAGCTCGAGACTCACGAGCGGATCGCTAACGGTCAATCAACTAATAAAATTAAACAACAAAATGTCAATGGTTTAGTTTTTAAATAATTGCTTAATTTATATTATAGCAAGTTATAGTTATAAATAGTAGTAGTTATAAATAAAATAAACGAAATAAATATAAAAGAAAAAAAATGTCAATCAAAATAAACATTCAACGCAGTTTTTCATTCGCGCAATTCCGTTTACGTTCCGATCCTGGCCGAGCGAGCCCGACTCAACCCGAGTTCTATAATCTATTCGAGTCGATACGAGTACGATGCAACACCTTACGAACGGCGCGCGCGCGTGTGTATCGTAACATAATAAATAATAATTCACTCAACTCGAGTTGATGCGAGTTGCAACGCCTAACGAACCGCGCGCGCGAGCCGCGTGTGTAACTCGGAACAACTCGCGTGTGTAACTCGGAACACCGCGTATAACTATAACGTCCGGTTTGCGTTCGGACGACCGAGTTGATTCGAGTTGCTTAAAACTGAACTCGAGTAGACTCGTTTAAGGTTTGATTCGAGTTACTCGAGTCAAATAACTCGAGTCGCACACCGCTAAGTTCAAGTTCTAACAAGAACAAATAGGAAATCTTGTGGTGACGATAAAACATATAAAAATATTGTGAAATAATTTCTTTAAAAATAAGTTATTAATAATTTATTTATTGAATTTGACTGTGATATAGATTATATTTTTACAAAATGTCGAATCCATGGAAGAAAGTTCAAGCACCAGTAGATGTCCAAAATCTTTCCGATATCATGTCAGAAGAATATGCAAGAGGTCTACAAGTTAAAGAAGAAATAAAATTCGCCGAACAGATTACCGATCATCATGAAGTTTCTGTATCTAACGAGGTGCCTCCTGAGGTTTTGAAACAAATCGCCGAGTGCAATGTGAAAGATTATTGCGATTCTGACGCGATTATTGCAAAAGTTTTGCAATGTCAATTTGACAAAGAATACGACGATGAAGTAAAGAGGGTTGAGAAAAAGCGAAACGGGGATGCTAAAGTATCAATTTCTTATAACAATTACCGCAATATCCCTGAACACCTTGTGTATGATTCAGATTCGGAAGATGATGCGGAACAAGCCAGTAAGAAAGATTGGGACCGATTTGAGACTAATGAGAAAGAATACGCGAGTCTTCCTAAAAGAGGTTTTATAATGAAAGATGGTGAAATGGTTACTAAACATGATAGTATTATTAATGGAAGGAGAAACGCTTGCCGCATTATGGCATTCCCTCCGGAGGTTTGTACTGGGGATGGTGCTGGATTTGACATGAAACTGCCAAACTCTGTGTTTAACCAACTTAAGGAACATACAAAATGTAACCAAAAGAAACATAAGCTATTGGATAGAAAGGAGAGTCAAGCTACAGCTGAAATGGGTCTGGATGAGCCGACAAGACTTATCCTGTTTAAGATGATTAATAATGGAATGTTGGAAGATATAAACGGAGTTATCTCCACAGGCAAGGAGTCTGTTGTTTTGCATGCTAATGGTGACCAATCATTCCCAGATTTAGAAGTTCCTAAAGAATGTGCAATAAAGGTATTTAAAACTACATTAAATGAGTTTAAAACAAGAGATAAATATATTGAAGCCGACTATAGGTTCAAAGATCGCTTCTCCAAGCAAAACCCACGAAAAATTGTACACATGTGGGCTGAAAAGGAAATGCATAATATGATGAGAATGCAAAAAATTGGATTAAACTGTCCTGACATGGTCTGCTTAAAGAAACATATCCTAGTCATGTCTTTTATAGGCCGTGACAATAAGCCAGCCCCTAAACTAAGAGATGTTATCCTAAAGCCTGAAAAGTGGGAAAGTGTCTACAATGAAATTGTAGATGCCATGCATAAACTTTACAATGTCGGGCATCTGGTACACGCTGATTTGTCAGAGTATAATATTCTGTGGTGGGAGAACAAATGCTGGTTCATTGACGTCTCACAATCTGTTCAGCCTGATCATCCAAGTGGCTTGGAATTCCTGTTGAGAGACTGCAGGAATATCACCAATGTAAATATCAATAATATTTTGTACTTTTATTTTTATAAATCTTATTCTAACCTTATAATTGTTTACCTTAATGTACTTGTATGTTATTAGAAACATATTTTTTTACATTTTTAATTAATATTAATTGTTTTATATGTACTTATGTATAAACAGGAACATATTGAAGTATAAGTGATCATCAGAATGTTTATTTATTATTTTTTATTTCCAGTTCTTTGAGAAGAAATCTGTTCCTAACATTAAGACAGCAGAAGAGTTATTTAAAAGTATAACTGGTTTTGAAGAAGTGGATGTCAACTTACTTGACGGGGTACACACTATTTATAACGCCCTATCATCTCGTTTTGAGATTGCACCAGATGACAATAGAATCGTAAGTTATCCGTTTGAATACTGCTGGCAGAAAACAAGTGAAAATAAGCAGTCAAAGAGTCAAAACGCTGTTGATAGCGAGGATGATGAGTTTGATGACATGTGGACACATTCAATTCAAAATAAACCTATTGATGCGGCTACCAACTTTGGAAACGAAATGAAAAGTCCAGCAAATGTAACACAGATTGTTGACGACAAAGTCAATTTTGGCAATATTCTTGATGTTGCTGTACCCATAGCAACAAAATTTGAAGACATAAGTAGTGGGCTAATAGATAAAAAGTCTTAAAGAGTTTCATTATGATGAAATCCATATTATAAAATAATATTGCAACAATGTATTATGTATTGAGATGGACATTATTACATAAGTTTATGGCAAAGATAACCCTAATTGCAGGTGGTTAATAAAAGGACAAAAAAATGTTAACATGTTTATTAAATAAAGAGTTGTTTGAGCACATATTTAACATTTATTTATAAGGATTCATACCTAGATTAAAACAAATAAAAATATCACATTGTGACCGAAAATTGAAAAATAGCCACAAACAAATGCTAAAATATGTATGTAGTAGTCCATTATTTTATTTTTAGAGCTTTTTTTATATTTTGGTGAGTCTTTTATATTATTTGTTTACCCAGAAATAGTTACCAGATTTCTGTTTTAAAAAAGTACTAAACATTATGATTTTAAATTTTATACAGTTCTGAGAAATCTACAAAATAAAAAGATTATCCACAGACTAGAGAAAATTTCCTTAAAATTTTATTTTATTTATAAATTACTTAAAAATAGGTTAATGAAAAAATGAAAATGAAAACGTTTATTTGTCTCAAAACAGTTACATGAATTATAAATGAGACATCCCCAGTAAGTAATTGATAATACTTGTGTTGGGGCTATCTCGCTCTTTCCCTTAACTATTAACAATATTGAGACTATTATACAAAAGGTAAGTAAAGATAAATTTATGAAGAAAAAATAACAGTAAGTGACTTATAAAGTAATTATTAGCTCTTTGTGTAACTGTAGTTGTACGCCTGTGTGAAACTGTAGTGCATCTTGTTTTTAAACGTGCGTGCGTGTATGTGTGCGTGTGTGTGTGTGTGTGTGTGTGTGTGTGTGTGCGTGTGTGTGTGTGTGTGTGTGTGTGTGCGCGTGTGTGTGCGTGTGTGTGTGTGTGTGCGTGCGTTTATGTGTGTGAGTGTGTGTCTTCTTTGTAGTGCCGGTGTGTTCGAAGTGCATGTAATAGATTAAGTTAATGATTAGTTAATGATTGTAGTTCTCTGGCCTCTGCTCACTAATCAATGCTTGTAACAATTCTGACTGTTGTGTTGTTAGGTATTGCTTAGTGTCAGCAGCAACACAAATAAGTGACTGCAAGTCTGCAACTGTACAGCAGATTACTATGGATTGAAGTTTTAGTCTTAGATCTGTGTTAAATGGTATTGCTAAAACAAAGAAAATTTAATTTAGTACATAAAACTCCTTAAAAATCCATTAGTATACTCCTTAGTACAGGGATCACAAACCAATGGCACGCAATACACAATATTTTGGGCACAGCACTGATCACAAAGTTCACTATGAAATATTATATTACAAACGAACGCAAGTGATCGTATGCTATGGAGTTTTCAGGCGCGGTGCGCGGGGCGGAATCAAGAAGTCAAAATTATTTTACGGCACGTCTATGACCTCATTAAGCATTTCTTTAGAAAAATGGAATGTTGATACATAAAGGTTCGCAACCCCTGACTTAGTATATTAATATACTGCAAATGTCCACAATGGATCGGTAAGCTGCAGTGGTGATGGTCCACCATACAGTTTGAAGAACTGACAACTAGTAAATTTATCTAACACCTACATCATCATTAAAGGCCCAATGAGATAGATAGGTCTGGGTGTATTGCAAGAGGCTCAAGCTTAGGATACTACTAGCCATAAGCCATAACCTTATGTATGCTTTGATGATTGATAACTTTGACGGTTTCGTGGCGCAGTGGCTTAGCAATGAGTTGTTGCACTGGGGGCCGCGGGTTCGAATCCCACATGGAACAAGTATTTGTATAGCCTAAAAATAATTGTTCCGGGTCTGGATGTTTGTCCTTGTGCAATATATGTTTGTAAACTGCCTCCACGACACAGGAGAAAATCCTAGTGTGGGGGTAACGTTTTTTAAACAAAGAATAAAATAGCTAAGATTTGATCATATCATAATAGTAATAATATGTAGCTGATTATCAGCAATATTAACATGTTGAGAGAATATAATTTATACATGTGAGAAAAAATAAGCCGCACTGGTTTTGTTGCTGGTTCTTCACAGGAGTGGTCAAAGAAAAAATTACTGCTTATTTTATCCTAAAATAAGAAAACTTCTAATATTGAGTGGGAATTTATCCTTAACAGACATAGTTTTTTTTTATAAGAAAATACTTGTAATGCTATTAAACATTACTAATATTCCATCGATCACTAATAAGAAACTAGATACACAATCAGTGACAAAAAATGTCCTTACCGAATGAGTGCCCACTCGAACATTTGAGTGCACTTTTAATCTAGTAGCATTCGAATGCTCTGACAGTAAACATGCCTCAGCTCTTGTTGAAAAAACCGTAAAAATCACACATCTAGGATGCTAAAAAAGGATGGAATTTCATATTTTTGGTAAGTATTAATATTATCATTATTTAAATATTGGTATTTTGTCAAGAAATTATCGTAAAAACATTTTTTAAATTATGTCGTAATAAAATTCATTCTTTGTCCAAGCGAAAGCCTCAGTCGTAAAATTTAATTGCTTTTTATCAGCACTTTGTAATTCTGACTTTCAAGAGATGCGTGTAAGATTGAATTTGTTTTAATATAAGTTGACCAGCGAGTATCGGTCATAAAAAATTATTATATATTATTTATAGTTTTGTGAATACAACTTTGGGCAATGCATTTAAGGTTGAATTTACATTAATGTATATTTATTCCAACTAGAATTACGTCAAAACAATTGGCTACAGTTTTGGAGAACTTTTGCATGGGATTGTGTATCTAGATTTTTATTAGTGATCAATATAATATTCCCTATAATTACTTTTGGTAAGCTTAAAATGCTTGTGTTAGGAGTGGTTCACGACAGTAGTCGAATGGCGGATTCGAATTGAAGACCTTTCGAATTCGTGGTCCTTACCCTGCCATTAGGCTACTGACGCCTACAGTCTATTAAGATAGAGCTGCCTATTAGATACAGCTGAACATAGACCTCACGTATTATATTATATTTTCCATAGTAGCCTGCTGCAGTTTATGTTATTGGGAAGAGGATGCTGTCCATATCCTGGTTTGTTTACCACTGTAGCCTCTAATAACACCCACAGGATGATACGGGATTGTGAATATTCTTATACTTCCACTACAACTATCAACAGACATTATTACACAGCACATATTTCTAAATGTTTTATATTAGATTGCTACAATTTATCAAAGTAAAATATTGATTTACCTTCACTCTCAGTGTCATTCATCAGGTCTGTAAATAACAGCTTAAGAGATTTAGGCTTGCTGTTCTCATCGGGTTCGACTAGTAATGCTAGCAGTACTCTACTAACTTGAATTCTGTACAGAAAATAATATTATTAAATATAAAAGAACAAACAGGTTACATTGATCTTAAAATTAAACTTACTCTGTCAAAATTCCTTCAGGTATATTCGTATTTGAGTCATAGATTGTATTACCCATTTGTAAAGCAATATCAAATTTACCTGAAATATAATTATTAAAATATTTTTTACAGTTTATCATATAATCTATGGAGTATTAATTTCTAGTGTATATTACACACACATTGGAATTTTACAATTCTTGTAATTTAAGCTCATTCTACTTACTATTGCAGAATTCTTTTAAAGAGAATAGATACACAAAAAGGAGTAATAAATTGACATTGTATTTTGAAAATCATTTAAGTGACACCTCACCTCACGATCTCTAAAAAATTACCACCTACTAAAACTAATGTCATAAGACAAAAATAAGAATTTCAACCTCACATCTATAGCTGGGTGACTGCATAGTACAACAATGGTATCTGCAGTAGAACAATAGTAGCCAACAGGACAACAGATTTTTAAGCTCAAGAGGCAAACAGTTAAAGTAAAAAATAACTTTCAATATGAATTATTTATAATCTTTATGGAATAAAAATTATTATGTTTTGTGTAGCAGTGGACTTGTGATGATATTTAACTATGCATTTCAATCAAAAGTCTGATGTACATATTACAGACAAATACCATGATTTCCATATGTATGCATTTCATTTTTGTAATGTTGATATCTAACACTAAGAAAATAACTTACCTTCTATTATGTATATAAGTGTAATTACAATAACAACCCTGGGCTTAAGGCGCAGGTTGAGCAAAATGTCGCGCTAGTCGTTATTTGTGCGGTTTTCAGAAGCTATCTACTTTTTATTTAAAAGATATATCAACAAATAAAAAACACATTATATTTCTACATAATCTTGAGTCCATAAAAACTATATCCAATTTTTTTTTAAACTAATAAATATTAATATAATCTCCTTACAACGAAACCACATAAATGTGAAATTATTATTGATAACATGGATCTCCTCGTAAAGTAAGTATTATTTTATTTTGCGATTTACACCAATGGATAGACAATTTATTAATAAACATTTCTATAGTAAATTTTTTTTCAAAAGACCAAAATTTGATTTTATTAAGAAATTATTTTAAAATCTGGGCATATTCACTGCTCACGGGCTTACTGGAGTCATTGAGCCCTGAGCTCTACGACGCGAAGCCCGTGTCGTTAGAGCGTCGACCAGCGCCGCATACACTCACGTAATATCAGTCGATAAATAATATTACTTATTAGGTTATTTATAGGTAGTATTATTTGTTTGTTTTGGGTATAATTTTTCGTATTAGTTATACATATATTTGTTGTGTTTTTTACTGCGCGATGAAGCTTTTTGCGTGTATTTTCTTTGAAGTAAATGCAAATAAAAAAATGAAGCACCATTGGCATGTAAGGTTCGAATCCATAATTAAAATTTCGATAAATATTATAATTTACACTATAAAAGGCTAATTCAATATTATCACCCAACCACAATATCTTATTATGTACAGTACTACCTCGTTGGTCTAGTGGTTGTAGTAGTGCGACTGCTGATCATTAGGTCCCGGGATCGAATCCTGGGTCGGGCCCTGTCAGATGAGTTTTTCATTTATGTTCTAAGTTATAATTAGTATTACTAAGTTATAGTTTTTTGCTAAAATATAGTATATTATTTATTGCTTGTTTTTTCTTCTTTTTCAAAAAATAATTGAGCACATAAGGTGTTCTATACTTATACTTCGGTAAAAAGTATGTAAGTAGGTACTAATATACCTACTTTTTACTACTAAAAATTTTTAAAACTAAATTTAACTAAAAAGACTAAACTGACCATTTATTTTTTAACTCAAAACAGGACATGGGTTTATTTATACTCTAAAAACTATAACTTTATACAATTAGTGTTCACTGTAAAATTATATTCGGTATAGACGGTAATTATTAAATGCAACATATTTTTCTTAATTATTAATTACATTTGTCAGTGGATTAAATTTTCTTTAATAAAGTTAGTGATGATTTTAAATAAAAATAAAATTCTGCTCAAGTTTTTTTATTGTTATCTTTGTTAACAACATCGCCTTTAGAACTCTGGAACCGTAAGTGTTTCTTTCAGACGTCCACAATTTATTCAAAATAAAAAAAAATACTCTTTCTACCGGAGCATTCGTACCAGGTAGACATAAAATATATTCGATTAAAAAAAATTATGTTGAAGATTGTTGACTTTGAATACTTCCATCCAACGAGTTACGGGACAATTTTGTGTCCCGGAGCTTTGTTTGGGGACAATGGGACAGGTGACCGAGAAAAGGGACAGTCCCGTTCAAAACGGGACGTGTGGTCACTTTAGCTATAACCCGGCGACGGCTCCGTGGGGCAGTGGCTTAGCAATTAGTTGTTGCGCTGGGGGCCGCGGGTTCGAATCCCGCACGGAACAAGTATTTGTATGGCTTACAAATAATTGTTCCGGGTCTGGATGTTTGTCCTTGTGCAATTTATGTTTGTAAACTGCCTCCACGACACAGGAGAAAATCCTAGTGTGGGGGTAACGTTTTTTTACAATTGAAATTGAAAGATTGAACCCTTATACTTCTTGTTGATTTTTGTATTAGTAGTTAGGTATATTACTTTTCAATACGTGACACGTAAAAATTAACAATAATCAAAAACACATCTACGAAACATCCTATTTATTTATTTATTATTTATTGCACCAAATATTTGTACAAAAGGCGAGCTATCTATTTATTTACCTATAGTGAATAGGTATCTTTTAAACTCATAATTTTCAATGCTTCATTTTTAATATATAATTAATTATAAAATTTCATAATTAGATAATATATGAAAATACATAATTCTAATATAATGCAACTAATATACCGAATAAAAAAATTAAAATACATTTATCGTTGTACGCTGTGTGCAAAGATATTTTATGACCTATAAAACATCTTTGGCTGTGTGTATTTCCATAAATTAGTTCATTGATGTTGAAAAAATAATACTACGTTCGTACCTACAATAAGTGGTGGCGTCGTACATATTTCAAATAAGCAATATATTGAGGCGAGCGGCGTGCCGCCGGCAAAATGCTCAAGGTCGTTCGCATGGAGTAGCCCCTTAATATATAACTGTATATATTTACATAACTATTAGTTAATCTGTGATATTAGTTTCTTTATGAATACTTATCTAAGTCAAAAATCATACAAGTATAAAAGTAAAGAAAATTATACCACAATCAATCAGCAAATTAAGCAGATTCCTCATATACATTAACTTCATAGTACCCTCGCTCACAGTGTCCAAAGCCTGCTCATAATAAGCTACTGCCTCCAGCTTATGGTTCAAAGAAACTAGGTTGCTGGCAAGCTCCATTATAATGGAAGTACGAATTGGTGATGTCTCTGGATATTTGCTTAACGCTTGCATAAAACAGCCAATGCCAGCCTAAAAACGTTAATAAAATAAATTTAATAATTATTAAATTTTAGTACTATTTTGTACATAGGCCTATGTTCAGCAGTGGAGCTCATCACAGGGCTGTAATGATGATGACTATTTTGTACTTCAAATATTGTTTAGTAATTGTGTAAAAGATTCCACTAATCCATGTACTGTAGATGTCGTAAGAGGGAACAGGGAAACTTAAACATGAGATGGGAAGCAACTTCTTTCTAATAACAGTTTAAATTATTAGAAAAAACTGTATTTGCCAACCTACTGCATGGTAACTATTGAAAATATACCCCTTGTAAGGCATGTAAAATGCAAATATAGATCTAAAACTGTGGTAAAATGCCTGTGGTGAAATGTTTATGAAAGATTGTCTTCATCATTGTATCAAAAGTAAACATACATACACCTACCCTCATAGGGGGATTTTACCATAGTTACCATGCTTGGCAAGCAGATTGGCAACTAATAATGTATTAAGTATGATACAGAGCTTCTATAAATGTCTTGTGTTATATACAAGCCACAAATAATTAGCAATCTATGCAATCACTGTTTTTTCCAGTTTCTTCGTTTTAAACTTCACCAAGTGCCAACCAAAATATGCAGTGAAAAAAGTGTAGGCAACTAGAAACAAAAAGCTTTTTCTGTTGATGAGAAAAGGATGCATCCAGAACTGATGAAACCTCTAACGTTAACTATGGTGATTTAATTGTATTACCTCTAAGTATTGACGGTAACAAAATATAATCAGCACAACAATCAAAATCATTTTTCCTTCATCGGCATTTACTGCAACACAGACAGAAAGCTCAGGTGTACAAGCACCAAACTGTTACCAGTGTCCAGAAGCAGCAACATTTGTCGAGATAGTGTCCTGTGTTAGCAACAAAACGTGTCAATGTTGTACAGTGCCTAAAATGGCACTTCAGATCAGAGAAATAAATACCTCCAAGTTCTCTCTGTCAGGACTGTAAAACTTCAGGGCTGACAGTTTTTGCTCAGCTTTAAAGAACTGCCGTGCAGCAGACAAGTAATGTTCTGCTTCACCCAAATGGTTACCAGCTAGTGCTTCGCATTTAGCCGCGCCTATGTATGTTTGTCCTGCGAAGGATGGTTGTTCAGAGTGTTCACATTGAATGGCTAATCCAATGAATTCATTTGTTGCCTCTGAAACATTTGGCTTCCGCATAAAACGCCTGAAAATATTTGTCAATTGAATTGAAGATGTAAACTAGGTACTAGATAATTTTTCTGGTGATTGATAGCAAGTTGCGTACTTTTTCAGTTTTGTGTTTATATTAATGTATTGTTCATCAAAACTAACGCTAAGATCGGTGGACATTATAATAATATTATAGCTTTAACTTATAGGGGCTAATTGTAATTTTTTTCCAAAACACGGAAATTAGTCTGATTCTAAAAATGAAAACAAGAAGAAAAGTAAATAAGCTACAGGTATAGGTATACATACAGCTGGCTGTTATGATTCGTCAGTTAAAGCAGACAAAGGTCTTTGACTATACAGCCTTGTCTGGTTTGTTATTTATTATAGAAATTACAATATGCTGATACGCTACATTACACAGCTGAACTTCGCAATTCTTGAGAGATTTTGACAATAGCTTACAGTTGATGACGATAATACCTGAAGGACAAAACATCGAATATATATAAACATCGAAGCTCTTGTTACATCATCCCCATCAAGCACATGTTCACACGGGTAGAGGATTAAAACACAAAATTGCACCACCTTTACGTATCAAAATTCATTTCCAATCATTATTTAAACGGTAAAAGATGGGCAGCATATCAACAGTGGATAAGGCAAAGGTCTTGGTCATACAGCCTATTAATAAAAAAAAGTAGGAATCATATTTGTAATGTCAAAATCAAATTATTGTCAATGTCAAAATATCAAATCAAAATCGAATTACAATTTACAAAATGCTTTGACGTGTCTTACTACTGCTTTACGTGGTTTATGTACTGTTTTGGTAATGATATTTTGTTAATATCATTGAATAAAAATTAAAGAAGAGTACAGTGCTGTGTAGCAAAATGGATTTTTTTAAAAGCGGCCTTAAAACTGTTCTTGGTGCGCCAGAACCTGGCCATCAGCCCTCGGGAGCTGAAACGGTAACATTCTGTCATTTTTATCTCAGGAATTTCAATAGAAACTATTTATAATTTGTACCAGTGGACATACCCACGATATTTTAAACTTTATTGAAGGCGTGGCATAAATTTGATTTTGCCATATAATCGTTATCAGCTAAGTTTTGTAATTGTTTAACTCTTAATTGGGAATTATATATAGTCTAGATGTTTTCTGGAGTATTATAATATCTTAAAATAACATACTTAACCGTGAAAATATGATGATTGATGAATATTCTATCTTTTTTGTTTACATACATACATACATATAATCACGCGTCTTTCCCGTAGGGGTAGGCAGAGACCACTCCTTTCCACTTGCTACAATACTTACATACTTGTTTCGCTTCGTCCACTTTCATTATTCCCGTCATACATGCTCTACGATTTAGGGTACTCTTGACCAGTCTTTTTTTCAAGATGTCTACCCCTTCCAACACTTTCATTCACACTCGCCTTATACACTTTTTTCGTCAATCGTTCTTCATTAATTCTCTCAACATGGCACCACTATTGAATAATATTAATAAGTAAAGTGACCGGAAATTAATGCCATGGTTGAAGTTAACAAGGAGTACAAAGAATTGAATGAGCCATTTATCAAAATCAAAAGGCAAAATATAATTTGTTTAATGTATCGCTAGAAATACATAACTTTTTATACACATTCAGTATAATAAACATTTGCTATGACTTCTTATAAGTTCTCCATTCCTAAAATAGTGTAATGCAATAAGCAATGAACTATATCAGGTACTTAATTAATATTTCGACTTCCCTTAGCTTGTATATATTGATATTAGTCTTGGCACGTAGGTCTAGCACTGAACGAAACGTGGAGGGGATAGCTGAGCATGGGTACTGTCACGCACGAATTGGATTGCACAAATGCTACTGGAGAGCCAATCAGCATGTGCAAATGATACACACGAGCCAAACAGCACTTGGGAACGATGCACACCCGCCCCACGACCTGCTTACTACCCCATGATACCTTATTTTCGACTTATATAATAATGGTCACTGCTAGATTTTCGTGCTGCTACTTATAACACAAGTTGACAATTTCATCAAAAAGTCAAAATGGATCTCTGACTCTTTGTACATAGTCATAGTCAACTATAAAGCAATTTCAATCTTACATAATCTTACATAAATAATTTATAATGTAACTACAAAGAAGTTTTTTCTTATTATTAGTATTAACTGCTTAATGTATGATTATTATTTCAAGGTGGAACGTCTGGTTGATCGTGTAAACAACTCCACACTCTTGGAAGACCGTAGAGATGCTTGTAGAGCCTTAAAAGCAATGTCAAGAAAATATAGAGTAGAAGTGGGGGCTCAGGGAATGGAAACCTTAAAACAGGTAAATTATTATTATGCTTTAAATTGATAAATAGTTAACATGATTAATGCAGCTCAAGTGTTCTGCATGTAATTACTAATCTTATAATTTTGTGTAGTTTTTGAAAAGAAGTTGGTAAGCCCAAGAGTATAAATTAATTGAAATGATTGGAATTTTTGTGGTTTTGTTTAAATAAATATCATCACAATATGAGCCTGTACAATCTACAGTTTAATCTCCCTTAAAAGGTTTTATCCTAATTGCCACACTTGACTTGTATAATGTATAATGCAATACTACACATCTTGAATGCAATGTTGCTCTATTCCTTGTCAGTGATTGGATTTATTGAAATTAATAGTTTTCAAATAGTTATTCAGCAAAGCAGCTGAAAAATATATTAAGATTTTTCAGCTGTAACACTATATGGATGTCATGTGACTTTATTGATCAGAGATTGTTACGGTAAAGTAAACCAAAAGTATTTTATGTGAGAAATGCCTACACTAGTACAGTGCTACCCATTTTCACCTGCATTTAACAAACTTCTAACAAAAATGGCTTCACATGCATTATTAATCCTGAAAAGAGACGGCTCCGTGGCACAGTGGCTTAGCAATGAGTTGTTGCACTAGGGCCATAGGTTCGAATCCCGCACGGAACAAGTATTTGTAAGGCCTACAAATAATTGTTCCGGGTCTAAATGTTTGTCCTTGTACATATTATGTTTGTAAACTGCCTTCACTATACAGGAGAAAATCCTAGTGCGGTGGTAACGTTTCTAAAAGAACAGAACAGAACAAAAATGAAACGTCTCACAGCATGTACTTTATTATACTAGTTCTCAAACTGTTTAAACAGAAATACAGCATAGTGTGAATTGCTGTATTGCAGCATAAATAGGATTATAAGGATCCAGGATAATGGGATATTCTGGATGGCTGGATAACTATAAAAACATGCTTTACACTTTAATAAAATACCTTTTTTAGGTGTTGGAGTTGGACAGAGCTGATAGTGAAACAATAAACTACGCTTTAGACACACTCAATAATATTATGTCGCCATCACAATTCGAGGAGGAAGAGGACAATCCTCAAGTGCCGATGAATATTGGTGAACAGTTCACAGAAATGTTTATAAAGGATCATCACAATATACAACTCGTCCTAGACCTTCTAGATGAGTATGATTTTAGGGTAAGACTGTCAGCTGTCCAATTATTAACCTCGTTGTTGACAAATAGGCCTAAAGATATACAAGAGATAATTCTTGTTAAACCAATGGGAGTTTCAAAAATGATGGACCTTCTAAGTGACACCAGAGAAGTAATACGTAATGAAACACTTCTCCTCTTAATAAAGTTAACAAAAGGAAATGCCAACATACAGAAGATAGTGGCCTTTGAAAATGCATTTGATAGGTTATTTGAAATTGTGTCTAGTGAAGGTTTTTCAGATGGTGGAATAATTGTGGAAGACTGCTTACTTTTAATGTTAAATCTACTTAAAAACAATAGTAGTAATATTAACTTTTTCAAAGAAGGAAGCTATATACAGAAGATGTTACCAATGTTTAACACTCCTGAGGATACAGAGGACCCTGGATGGTCACCACAGAAGGTTTCAAATGTCCATTGCATGCTGCACATAGTGCGTACACTGGTATCGCCAAGTAATTCAGCACAAATTGTGTTGGATTGTCAAAGGATAATGAAGAATGTTGGTTTACTAGATTCTCTATGCAACATATTAATGGCAAGCGGTGTTCCTGCTGATATACTGACGGAGACTATCAACACAGTTGGCGAAGTGGTTCGAGGAAATGTGGGCAACCAGGACTTTATCGGAAATGTTATGGCTCCGTCAAATCCACCGCGCCCAGCAATCGTCGTCCTACTTATGTCCATGGTTAATGAAAAACAGCCTTTCTCCTTAAGGTAAATGTTTGTGAGTAATTGAACCATCCTTTTCTCATTCTTTTGTTTGTTGTTAAGAAGTTAAGACTGTAGCAAATCACCAAACCATCCAAATTCATAATTTTTTTTAATAAAAATAAGTTGAAAACTCATTTCATCTTTATAATTTTGGTTCACTGTACAACATACGTATGTTCATTACTTTTCTAAAAATTTTTTTAGGATACGTGTGAAAAGCGAGCGCACAGTCCACTTGAAGATAAGTGGTTGTTGTGGCCCATAGATGTCTACATCTTTCCTCGTTTGTGAATCAAAATGCTGTTGTGCTGTCAACCGTGATGACTCTACACTTACCATACGAAATACAGCAGTATTAAGCTGCTATTTTGAGCTGGTATTCTGTGAGATTTCCGTGAATAACCCTTCTCAACCGACTTCAAAAAATGAGGAGATTCTTAATACGTCTGAATCTTTTTTTTATGTATGTTCACCGATTACTTGAAGACACCTGAACCGATTTGGAATTTTTTTTTGTTTCAATGGGTATTTTATTTTTTATTTTTTTATTAAGGTATTCCCATGTGGTCCCATTTAAATTTTATCCAAGTCGGTCGAGTCACTTTTACATAATTTTTAAATTTAACACTTGCAGTAATAAGGATGAAAGACAAAAGAATGGAATACCTTACAGCCTATAATTTTACTGGCTCTATAGCTAACCAGTCTGACTTCTAGACACAAAGGAGTCCTACCACGTAGTAGACCTAGAAGACACTTTTAGAAGCCATTACTAAAACGACCAGAACTTTTAATTTACTTGTTTCTTTTACGATGGATATACTATAATCACATGTACGCACACACGCGCGAACTTACGCACACATACATACACTTTATTTTTGAACAAAAAACAGATAGGAATTCTTGTTTGTAAAATGTTACAGGTGTGCTGTTCTCTACTGCTTCCAGTGCTACCTTTACCACAATGAAATGAGCCAAGCAAATTTAGTACAAACTCTGCTACCTTCATCGACTGATGTATCCAGCCTTACTAGTGGACAGCTCCTCTGTGGGGGACTATTCTCATCCGACGTGCTCTCTAACTGGTTCTCTGCAGTGTCGTTGATGCACGCGCTGATCGATAATCCAATACAGAAAGAGCAGTTATTAAGGGTTTTGCTAGCTACCAATATTGGAAGTTCACCAGTTTCTCTGCTGCACCAGTGTACTTTGCTGCTGCAGCAAACTACAAAGTTGCAGACAAAGGTAAATTCTAGTTTCATTTGTTAACCTAGACTCATAAAGAGAAATAGATGGAGTACTGTACATAGCATGAATCAAACTTTTGCTTAACTTATTGTAAGAACACACACATGCATCTTAAATCATTTACAACTATCAACACGATTTTAGGTGCATGTGTGTGCGTGCAGCTCTTGTGTTTTACGGAAGAAAGAAAGAAAAAAGATGTGTGCATAAATGCGTGTCAAGGAGTTGAACATGGTTTCGGTGTTGATCTCGGTATATTCACAATAGTTATTGTAGTATGTTCACTAATTTAAAATTCTGTTTAAAAATATTTTTTAAACCTCTTGATCTTATTTAAAATAGGCTTTATCCATTTATGCAGTAAAAATCCTTAGTTTCGTATTTATATTAAAATATGAAATGATACAAGTAAAAATTACGTTATAAACATAATAGAAGTAAATTTTTAAATGGCGATGTAATAATATCCAAATACCAAATCTGTTTTGTCACAGGTGTTGACTTGTCTTGGGTTCAAATTCCTGGTTGGGCCAATAGCAATGGGTTTTTTGTGTCAAGAAATTCTTAATAGCATCCAAAAAAGTAAGTTGGCGGTGTTTCATCCCCGTGCCTCGGAACACGGAAACGAGGCATTCCATCTTAATCCTCAGGGGTGGCAACGCACCTTTTTTTGATTGTTAATCGAGGATATATGGTAGATATCTGTGGACCATAGCATCCACTTACCATCAGGTGGACTGTGTGCTCGTTTGTCACCCTTATTCTATTAAAAAAAATGGCTGTAGGTTCTGTGGCCTGATCATTCTCCGGTCGTGGGGTGATTACCGTCCCATCGGACTATGAGAGTGAGGGAATAGAGAGTGCACCGGTGCTTGCGCATCCACTTGTGCACTATAATCCTGTCCTGTGCAAATGGCTAGTCTCTGTTGAACCTGGCCGCCGTGACCGAAATTCCATGTGGAGGATATTATTGTTTGTCGTAGGTGGCGCTGTTAATGCTGTTATCGCAGTGGATGAGTGAGTGTCCTGCTGCAGTGAGCGCGTTCCTGCGAGTTCCTGGCGGTGTGGGCTACCTTGTCAACCAGACTTGCTCCAACGAACACGACGAGAATGAATACTTATTACAAGGTATTTCTTTATGTGTGACGTGTCAGCGTAGCGGCGGCATACGAAAACCATCGCCCCATCCTGGAGTGGAGTCGTAAGATGACTTAGGGAAAGACCAAGATTAAGAAGATCACCGTCTCGTATCGTTTTTTTTTAATTCCAGAAATAAAGTCCTAAGACTTGCGAGCCTAAGTCCTAAGCAATAATTCGCCAGCCAAGAGTAACGATTAGGGGAATCCTCATCCTCAACATTATGCAAGAAACATGTCCAGCCGTGGAGACTTATTTTTAAGCTCGGGCGTAGATTGCAAGAAAAACTTATGAGATTATTATCTAAAAAAAACTTTTTGACTTCAGAAAAAGGGGAGGTACTCAATTTGACTGTATTTTTTTGTGTTACCTCAGAACTTTTTTTTTGGGTGAACCGATTTTGATGATTCTTTTTTCTTAAAGATTTCTTATATTTACGCGAAGATTACACATTAAATGAAACTAATTTATGACATCGAGACGTCAAACACCTCAGTCCCCCCGTGACCATTGGTGCTGTAAAACACCCGAAACGTCGCGAATTAAACGCGATAAAATCCGTAAAAATTAGTTTTATTTAATGATATCTTTTTCTTTTATTTCTTTCATATTTTTATTTGAAAGCTGGTGCTTCTCATGTGGTCCCATATAAATTTGATCAAGATCTGACCAGTAGTTTTTGAGTTATCATTAATAATGCGTATTTAATTGACTTGGACTACATTGATGATGTTCTCATTTTATTTATGTTGAAGTCGGTTGTAATTTTGTTTTTAATTTTTCCCACTTATTAATAAAGGATACAAAGGGAGTTCAATAACAAAATTAATGAATATTTTTTTTATTTGTAAATTATATGTGGTTTTGTTACCTCTGCATTGGCCGGCGAGTAACAGTATTGCCAAAGACCCCGCTTTCCCCATGTGTGTGTCAGTTAGAGGTAATAAAACTGTTCGGACATTACTGTTACTTGGGATTGTCGGTGGGGTCTGCACTGCAGCAACATCTGCCACTTTGCGAGACGTCTTCAAGAAACACACCGCTTCGCAAAAGAAAGCAGGCAAGCCCACTAGACATTTCTGAGGACTGTGTTGCCAGGACCGCCAAACGAGCAAAACCGGGGTCACCCTTGTTTATCACTGAATTAGCTCTCGAAGGCATGCAGTAGCGTGAACAAAAATCACATACAATTTGCAAATATAAATTTATTTTTCTAATGGTTGATTTTCTGAAGTAAAGTTATTACTAAACTTTAGAATATTGATTTTGATAACGGGCGCAACTAAAACCACAGGGTTTTTGTTACATCTTGTGTAGAGACGTAATGCCCTTCTATCCGCCTGCGACATCACCATACAAAGCCAATGCAATAAAATCGTGGGTGCAAGCAAGAACCATCGCAACACCACCAGACCCAATGAACTATTTGTGTTTTGTAACTGCTTTGCACTGCAATTAGAATATCTACAGTGGTGGTTGCAGATCCACTGTTCAAATTTCTGCCTCAGCCCATAGTTGTGTTATATTTGTAAGATTAGGTTTATGCTAAGAGCAAAGAAAAAATTCGACACACTGCCCCTTTAGTGATTTAACGGAATTTTCATAAAAATAGTTTTTGATTCTCAATGTTTTCACAGGATGGTTCCTTTGGCATCGTATAAATAAATATTTAAAATTACAATTTAGAAACACGATGGTATGTGTTAAATCGAATTCATATAATATGTGAAATTAATGCATCTTGTAACTTGGTAGAGCCACGCGGCAGCTGTGGCTGTCGCACGGATGGGCCGGCTCGAAACGGGGTGGTACCACGACCTCACAGAAAACCAGCGTGAAGTAGAGGTTTACCTCTGCGTTTCGATTGGTGAGTGCAGGTGGCCGGAGGCCCTTTTTTCTGGAAATGAGGCATTCCATCTTAGTCCTCACGGATGACAACGCATCTGCATTTTCATTCGTAATCGAAGATAGATGTAGATGTCTATGGGCCACAGCAACCACTCACCATCAGGTGGACTGTGTGCTCGTTTGTCACCCTTATCCTATAAAAAAAGCAAGAACCATCGCAACACCACCAGACCCAATGAACTAGTTGTCTTTTATAACTGTTTTGCACTGCAATTAGAATATCTACAGTGGTGCTTGCAGATCCACTGTTCAAACTTCAGCCTCAGCCAATATTTGTGTTATATTAAATTAAATTTTGTATCTACCAATCATTAATGTAAAATATGCTTTTAAAAAAAATCCCGCTGGGTTTCTTGCTAGTTCTTCCCAGGACAGTGGTTTTTTTTTCGAACCAGTGGTAAAGTAAAAATGACTCAATAAGAATTACACATGTGATCTATATTGAATAAAACTTATTATATTTTATTTATAAGATTATATTTATGCTAAGAGTAAAGAAAACATTCGACACACTGCCTCTTTAGTGATTTAACGGAATTTTCATAAAAATAGTTTTTGATTCCCAAGGTTTTCACAGGATGGTTCCTTTTTTTTGAGCATCGTATAAATAAATATTTAAAATTACAATTTAGAAACACAATGGTACGCGGTAAATCGAATTCATGTATGTGAAATTAAGGCATCTTGTAACTACTTTAGTATTTTATATATTGACTACCTCATTGGTCTAGTGTACGTAAGCACGACAGCTGATCATGTGATCCCAGGTTCGAATCCCGGGTCGACCCAAAGTCAGTTATTGGGTTTCTCTCTCAAGAAATTCCCAAGTCAAATTCCTGAGTCAAGAAGTTGGCGGTGTTTCGCCCCCTTGCGTCGAAAAGCATGTTTACAAGTTGGTCTTCCGCCTGATCTCACTACAGTTGTGTCGGTTTACCGTCCCATCGGACTATGACAGTGAGGGAATATAGAGTGCACCTGCGCTTGCATATACACTCGGGCACTATAATCCTGTCCTGTGCAGATGTGGCGCTGTGGCAGAAATTCTGTCTGGAGGACATTATTTATATATTTAAGTATTTTTTTTTAATTTTCAGGACTATCAGCATTTTTGCTAGCTATATGCATCCACTTCAACGACGATTCCGTTGAGAACTATTCAAAAGATTCCCTAAAGCAGTTATTAGTGAAAAGAATAGGGATGGAAACATTCACAGCAAAGTTGAGCGAGGTGTCGAAGCACGAGTTGTACAATAAGGCGGCGAAGCATCCGCAGTTGAGGGCAAAGATACCCGCCGAGGTTCTAATTGATTACGAATTTTGCAGGCTGTTCAAGGTTTTGGAAAGTAAGTTTATTGACATATTTTAATCACACATATTTACCGTTATCCTTACCTATTGTAATGAGCTTGGGGTTCGAGACAATTAAAAACTGCCGAGTTAATTACCAAACTTGACACTAATTTCAACTTAAAACCACACTAATAACAAAACACAATAGTACTATAACTGATCACTTTAGTTCCCAGTTGTATCGCTTCGAAGTATTCGCTTGTATCGCTTCGAAGTAAAGTATTCGCTTGTATCGCCAACTCAACACTGACTGGGTCGCGATCTATACCGGCCTTATATAGGGCCTCAGATAATTTCCAGAACCTTTTACTATAGAAACATCTATAATGTGCGAGTACATACGGGTCTCGACTGACTAGATGTCGATAGTTCTAGAAAGTTCTTCCATTGAAAATTCTAGTAGGATCTTGACTCTCCTAGGTCTGCTACTCTATACTAGAGGGCGCTAGGGGTAACTAGTGTTGTCATGTACCTGGCATTAATGGTGGCGCTCAACATTATCAATAGTTCGCTAATGAACATAGGCCTTCTCCAGAGTCTGCTTCATAAGGAGAGATGCTGCTGCCCATGTCATGTTTCAGTTTCCCTTTTTTTATCCCTTCTATTCTATTATATTCTTACACCACCACTAGTTCATTAAGGTTCTGATGTTGAGAATGTAATAATAAAACGAACTTAAGTCCTAACATTTTAACTATGTGTAACATATACCATATACCACTAAATCAATTTGTTACAATACCACGGAATATTAAAAATAAGAGGAAATAGCAAAATGCATAATTTGTACCAGACCACTGTCGCCAAACTCGCACATTCGCAGGAAAGAAAAGTGTACCGACAATTGTGCACCACTTCAATAATTTTAGCGTGATTGGCTGTTAATAAATAAAACAGAAAGGCTTTATGTTACTCACCATTCGCTCAAGTACGAACAGTAAGTTCTTAAAAATAGAGATCAGATTTCCTTTTGGTCAAAGAAGTTTCTAGAATTAATGAGCAAATTTAGCTATTTAACGTTAAATTTCTCAGTTATACCGTGATTTACAAAACGCATCATATATTCTGACAATAGATATAGAGGTATAGAATAGATTATGTCTTAATCCAAAAGGCTTCTAAGATTGACGCAAAAAATTTACTATGTGACGCTATATGTCGCAATAATAAATTCATGCTATTATAGGCACAATGCCGATTGGCATAACGTTGACTTTGCCCTACGTAACCTGCTACTGCTACGTGTATGATGTTAGTGATGTTGTTACTCAGCCTGAACGTGATCTGTTTTATCGATATTCAGACAATATTAATATTTGATAAAATGGAGTATGGGAAAATATATGATAAAATTAGTAAAATAAAAAAATGGAAATTGCCTTTATGCACTACGTATCTTCATATTGCCGGCATATAATTAGTTGTCTTCGATGGAAATTTATTAACAGTGAGCTCAATTATCATTTTGGAAATGGAACAAGGAGTATTATAAAAAACCATAATTTAAGCAATTGTTTGTTATCCTTGAATAAAAATTGTCGTTTTGACAGTTTGATATTTAATTTTAGACGATGATGAATTCGGATACTTATGTAGATCATGATGTGAAGATCACTCTTATTTCAGCTTCTTTCCAAAAGTGGGAATTAATAAACTACTTACTTATTTTTTTACTTATAATTTATTACAGACTTCTATTGAATGCGATTCCCATAACATGTTGCTGTCTATAAGCAACCCTAAGAATTTAGCTACTTTTGTTTCAGAAATAGTTTTATTCCCATAACTTATCGTTTTAGTTGGGGTACATTTTCTTTGTGTAAATTGCATTATTTTTGTTTTTTCTAGACTAACTTTTAGATTGTTTGCTTTTAACCATTTAATAATATTTTCAATAGTAAAGTTAACATTATTTTGAAATTTTGCTACACTGTCACACTGTACAAAAATAGTGCTATCGACTGCAAACAGTATCATTGGGTATTTACAAGACTCAACAATATCATTGATGTATATTATAAATAGCAAACGACCCAAAACACTACCTTGAGGAACGCCATGCTTAATCGTTCTATTATTAGACGTATATATTTTTTCCTGTCTAGTTGAGACACAGATCTGACTGATTACAGTATTTTTTGTGTTCTATCTGTTAAATAAGATTTAATAAGTTCAGTGCATTAGCTCTTGCACCATAATGGCTTAGATTTTCCAGCAATATATTATGGTCTACATGGTCAAATGCCTTCGTCATGTCTATATAAATGGCACATGATGGGATTCTTTTATCTAAACAAATCACTTTGTCTTTTTAGTAAGTCATATATTGCTGTTCATCATCATCATCATTACAGCCCTTCACAAGTCCACTGCTGAACATAGGCCTCCCCCAAGGAATACCACAAAGCATGGTCCTGAGCCACCTGCATCCATCGACTTCCTGCATATCTTACCAGGTCGTCACTTCATTTAGTGGGGGGACGCCCAACACTTCGCCTGCCGGTACTAGGCTGCCACTCGAGAACCTTTCTTCCCCATCGGTTGTCGGTTCTTCGAGCTATATGGCCGGCCCATTGCCACTTCAGCTTACTAATCCGTTGGGCTATGTCGGTCACTCTGGTCCTACTGCGGATATCCTCATTTCTGAGTTTATCACGCAGAGAACTCCGAGCATAGCCCTCTCCATAGCTCGCTGAGCAACCTTGAGCTTTCTCATCCGGCCATCAGTGAAGGACCACGTCTCACTGATTGTACAGTCTCGTTTTCAAGTTTTGAGGTATACCTGACGAGAAGATGTGCCGTAATTTCCCGAACGCTGCCCAACCGAGTTGAATCCGTCGATTGACCTCTCGGTCGAAGTTGGACTTACCTAGTCGGACTATTTGTCTCAGGTAAACATACTCGTCAACAACTTCGAGCTTAGTGCTCCCAACAACTACCGGCATAGGTGTGACATGGACATTAAACATGATCTTTGTTTTGTCCATGTTCATCTTAAGACCTATCCGTTGGGAAGCACTATTGAGGTCATTGAGTATAGTGCTTAGGTCCTCCAGCGATTCTGCCATAAGGACTATATCGTCGGCAAATCGAAGGTGAGTGATGTACTCGCCATTGATGTTGATACCGTATCCTTTCCAGTCTTTTGCAAGTTTCGGGGATAATATCCCCGAAACTTGCAAAAAGACAGGGTGACATCATATTATGATGTCACCCTGCCTTACACCTCTCTGCAATTGGATAGGTTTAGTACTCTGGTTCTGTACTCGGAAAGCCATCGTAGCCCTACTGTACAAGCACTTCAGCACTTCGATATACCGACAGTCCACTTGGCACCGCTGAAGGGACTGCAGCACCGCCCAAATTTCGACGGAATCATAGTCATAGTCAACGTACGCCAGACATAGTGGCAAATTGTACTCCTCTGACTTTTGTACAATTTGCCGAAGGGTATGTGTGTGGTCTATGGTGCTAAAGCCTTTTCGGAAACCGGCTTGTTCGGGAGGCTGGAAGTCGTCAAGTCTGCGCGCGAGACGATTCGTGATGACTCTCGAAAACAGCACGTAGACGCGGCTCAGAAGGGAAATCGGTCTGTAGTTCTTCAAGAGAGCGTTGTCGCCTTTCTTGAAGAACAAGACCACTGCACTTCTGCTCCACGCCTCCGGTGTAATGCCACCATGGAGGACGGAATTAAAGAGTTTCTGAAGGACTTCAAGTACCGGTTTTCCACTCGCTTTCAGAAGCTCCGCTGTAATTCTATCCCCGCCTGGGGCCTTGCCGTTTTTAAGGTGCTGGAGAGCCATTCTAATCTCGCTCAGACTGACGTCCGGGATATCATCGGAATAATGTCGGATAAGACTCGCTCTTGGATCGTTACTCACACTCGCGTATGGCTCCAACGATGACGTGTACAGCTGCCCATAGAACCTCTCAATCTCACTCAAAATCTCAGGTGCCCCGGAAACGATGCTGCCACACTCTGTCTTGAGCTTTGACAGTTGGCTCTTTCTGGCAGACAGATCTCTGGCAAAGACTTTGGAGCCTTGGTTCTGCTCGATCGCTTCTTCAATACGAGCTGTATTGAAGTTGCGTAAGTCCCGCCGCATGCATTTGGAGATCTGTCTGTTCAGTTGCCTGTATGCTGTCAAATCTGTTGAAGAATGTAGCTTCATCTCCCGTCTAACAGCCATGAGATTAAGAGTGTGATTGGAGTTTTTGTGTTCTTCTGCGGCGGGTCTTGCAGAACTTAACTCCGACTGCATAGACAGTTTCCACGAGCTTGTCGTTCATATCGTCCACTTCAATACAGTCTTCTAGGCACTGAAAACGGTTTTGTAACTCGAGCTGAAAGGTTTCGGGACTTTGGATTAGAGCACGAGGGGGACGGAGCTTTGACTTCATTAGACGAGACCTCTCCAACTTAACGTTTAGGTTCAGTGTGCCTCTAACCATTCGGTGATCGCTGCCGGTTTTCACCCTCGCGATCACTGAGACATCACTGAACAGTTGTCGTCTGGTCGTCATAATGAAGACAATCTCATTTTTTGTCGAACCGTTGGGGTTCGACCAGGTCCACTTCCTGTGAGGCCGCTTCTGGAAGAAAGAGTTCATCACAAAGAGTCCCTCTTTCTCCATAAAGTCGGCCAGCTGCTGGCCCCTTGGGTTCCGTTGCCCTATTCCAAATTTCCCTACTTTCAGCTCACCGTTCTCTCTTGTGCCTAGTTTTGCATTGAAGTCTCCCATTAACACCGTATATTGGGTTTTGCAATTGCAATTGTAGTATTTTTGCGAAATCCTTTTTGCTCTTTATTTAATTTTTAGGTGTCCTCGTGAAGAGTTTCATTGTAAAAGAGGAAGCTAGTCCAGAGGAAGCTGGGGAACGGTCATCCCCAGGTGGAGCTGCACTGGAACAGTACAAGGCGTTGATCCGACAGCAGGACGCCAGACTGCAGGAGCTGGTGGCACAGCTGGACGCACTGTTGCAGCAGAACCAATCTCTGCAGGTCACCACTCACTACTCATTTAACATTAAATGTGAAGTTTTTTTATATAGAATAAGAGTTACAAACAAACACACAGAGTGTGAGCACGGAAGTGTGGACGCTGTGGCCAATAGACATCTACATAAGTCCTCGATTATGAATCAATATGTGTTGACACCCCTCTGAAGAGTAAGATGGAAGACCTAGTTTCCAGTAAAAAGGGTTTCCAGTAAAAAGGGTTTCCAGTTCTCTACACTCACCATACAAAACACAGCAGCATTAAGCTGCTATTTGACGCTAGCTTTGCCGTTGGTATTTGGTATTATGTACCAATGGCAAATGTAATTATTTATAACCTCTGGCTGATGGACTAACATCTTGTATGCCGGATCCAAACTTGAGATGGGAGCAGTCAAAGTTGTAAAAATACTTGTTATTTTATCTTTGATGCCTTTTTGTCATGGAGGATATGTCTACGTATACCCGCCTCGTGAATATAAGGACAGGTTATGTCGGACTCGCACCAAATAAAACCCTATGGTAGTCCTCCTTCGCCACATATTGGCAGGGCAACACTTTCGTACACATCCATTGCCTCCAAGAGCGCCAGCAGCCTCTTGGTGACTCATACTCGGGAAAGAACCCCGAGTCCGTTACACAGAAGCTAGTACTGTGAATGCCTATGTAACATCCAAAAGTGATTGTTATTTCAAAGTCATTGACCTTATAGAAGACAATTTTGTGAATTAAAAAAAAATTAACATATTATTTATGATCTGTTTTTCAGAGTGCCTTGAATGATTCCCTAGCATCTAACTCCCATCTAAAAGACGAGAACACACTGCTAAAAGCCCAAGTGTCTGCTGCCAAATGTGTGCCAAGCACTGACACCACACCTAGTCAAGACAATGCCAGAGCAAGTGAATACGAAGCCAGGATACAACAGCTCACTGCAGAAGTTACAAGGCTAAACGATCTGTTGAGAACTAGTCAAGAAGAGAAGAAGAGTGCAGCGGAAGAATTGGAGAAATTGAGAAATGATCAAGATGATTTACTAGTACTTCTTTCGGATTTGGTAAGGATTTCTTTAAACTAAAAGTGCTTTTAGAGATATTTATTTATTTCAACACTTACAACTATCTTTACAAGTAATCCTAATACGATAGTGTAACTATTCTATATGCTATTATTATAACTATTTATGTGCTATTATTATTATTATACGCAATTATCTTTTTAAATTAGGTACATAACAAATAATGTATAATGCTATCTTTGTGAACTCACTCAGTAGACAGCAAAACAAGTCTATTTCTCTCGCTATCAAATTAAGTGTGCAGAGCAAGTGTGAGGGGCGCCTGACGCATCAGGTTTGTCCTTCCGTTCGGCACGGCAAACAATTGTGGCCGTCGCCGTCTCCCTATGTATCCGTCGGGTACATACATGTTTAATTGTTTTACTATGTCACAATTAAATATTTTCCCTATGGGTACCTTATAAATATATAGTTACGCGTTACTGAACGTTAGTTCGGAGCTACTTAACTTTAAATATTTCGGCTGAAGGATTCTGTATCCATGACAGTCATGTAATAAATTAAGAAAAAATTAAATATTGCTCCTATTTTATCGTTTATATACATTGAAGTAATATGTACTTATATACTAAAACAACTATTTCAAACAAAAAATGTGCGCTAATGTCTTCGCGCATTCGCAGTGGAGAGTAGTATGGCGCATGCGTGGTTGATTTTTTATCATAGATTATTCGTAGGTAGTAATAGTTTGTATGTAAATATGTAATTTATTTTGCATATAATATATACATATAGTGCTAATTTAATGTAATATTATATCACTATTACATTTTATAATCAGCTAAATTTAAACATCAGAAATTTAGCCTAATTATGAATACTTCTTTTTATTTCTACAAAAGAAATTGTACATAATATAATCGTCCTACACTTACCCACAGAAATGTCTCATCTGAACAAATTTGTTTTGTAATCTATATTCCGTGACACGAGATGGCGTCTTATGAATAATTTGTTTGACTATTAATATTTTTTTATTAATTAAGTATCTTATTCACCGATGAAAAGTCGGTCCTTGATATTTGATAACATTTCTTGAATTATTTGTGCAATATCTAAAAACACACCATGGCTTATTTTATCAAGAGATTTTTTTATATAATCAACACAGCACGCAATTTTATATAATGTCACTAGCGCCTAGTGAGTGACAGTAAAGTGCAGCGACATCGCCACAATTAATGGGACGGCGTAACTAAATGCAATGTCGCCTCTAGTACTTAGTACATAATGTTTATATAAGGTTTTGATAGATAAAAATGATGCAATATTGTATATTAAGTGTCTGCACATGTGAGCTAATGTTGGAAATGACGAAAAAAGTGATTTGATGTTGTTAAAACATCAAATCTTTTTGATCGCTTAGGTGACTTACAAAGTTGAGAGACTGTAATCATCGACTATCCGTTGGATTTAGCCATTGTCAAAATCTCCTAAAAATTTCTTAATGTGACGCATAGCAAGGAAAATTTCATATTACTTGGCACTGGCAAAAGTATAATCGTACGAGTCATAAAAAGAGAAATAAAAAGTGTCCAGCACTTTTTTACCACTATCCCAACTGATAGTAAGTGGTAATGTAGCCGATAAACAGTGGTAGAGCCACGCGGCAGCTTTTTCTGTCGCACGGATGGACCGACTCGAACCGGGGTGGTACCACGACCTCACAGAAAACCTGCGTGAAGTAGAGGTTTACCTCTGCGTTTCGCTTGCTGAGTGCAGGTGGCTTCTTGATCCTGACGGGTGACAACGCATCTACATTTTGATTTGTAATAGAGGATAGATGTAGATAATTATAGGCCGCAGCAACCACTTACCATCAGGTGGACTGTGTGCTCGTTTGTCACCCTTATACTATATTAAAAAAAATAAACAAGTTGAAATTTAAAAATCAACACAAATGAACACACTATACAATCTATCCATATCTATATATTCTATAATTATATTATAATAAAACTCGAACACGACGACTGTCTGTCTGAACACGCATCACCTGTGAACCAGTTCAAGGTGTATTCAATATAGAACGCAAAAACCTGTGAACTGATTTGGATGGGACTTTCACTGGCAGATAGCTGATATTATAAGGAGTAACTTAGGCTACTTTTATTTTAGGAAAAGAATTAGGGTTCCGCATAAAAATATTAAAACCCATGAAATCCAATCGCAACAAATTCCTCACGCGGGCGCAGTCACTGGGAACAGCTAGTATAGAATATAATATGTTTCAATGATTGAAATAGTTTTTATGAGCTGTCAAAGTGATAGTTTACTATGGAAATTTGTTTGTGGATACCAGTAAATATTATACTAATACACTACACTATAATCTTGTAGTCAAGTAATCATTTTGTTTTTGTTCGTTTTAATTAATTCAAATTTAATATAAAAATAACCGACTAACTGATCTTGAACTTTGTTGGTTTTCAAAATTATCCATTACTGCCTATAAAATCCTCTGCTAAATGTAAGTATCCCCCATAGATTGCCTCATAGGCAGGATTTTGCATAATTGCTTGGCCAGTCGGGTTGGCAAGTTGGCAGTCTTTTATTGTTATAAAGAAGATGCTGCGCCCATCTCCTGTTTCAGTTTCTCACTGTGTCGCTTCTTACGACACCCACGGGACGACACGGAGTAGTTGATATTCTTACACTCGATTACACACGGAAAATGACATAGTAATTTAATGACAATTATGTAATTTTTGCCCCCAATTAAATACTTCTATAACTCAACAATTTATTTTTCCTTTGTTTAGTTTAGGAGATATTTTTTAATTATTTACTCATATTTAAGATTGTTCTCTTTACAGGATATGAAAGTAAATGAATACAAAATGCGATTGGTATCATTAGGAGAGAAGGTGGAAGACGAGAATCCTGAAGTGCCAGAACCGAACCTCACGTAGTGTTGCTAGCAAAAGAGGAAATTGTTTTTAATATTGTGATAATGATATGTTTTTTAGATTTTCATTAACATGTAAAAAATAGACAAGATAAAGAATTATCTATAAAAATGGTAAAAAATACGTATATATAATATTACTGAGGCAAAAAGGTAATTACTTAACTGATGAGTGTATCTTATGTAAAGAATGAAAACAAAAAAATATTGAAAGAATAATGTAATGTGCAGTGAAATATTTTTTTTATATGGAAACCATATTACTATCACTTTATCTAATTTCAGCTAATATTAGTTACGTTACATACGTTAATGACAGTATGTATTTTTTTGTAATTCCCGCCAATTTTTTACGTCTCACGCAATAGGGTTGCCAGGGCCTGGAATTGAATCGCAAGTAGTTAAAAATTTCGGATTTTATGAACAAAGTTCGGCCTTCAGCCGGCATCAAAGCCCAATGATTACGATTTATTTCCTAATTAAGTATATTTCAACTTATATTTTTTTATTTCTTAGTTGGTTTCACAACATATTTTACTATAATATTCTTCATGAATAATGTGTATGAAGTCGTATTCGCTTGCTATACACTTGTATAGCCGACCTGGTAAAAATCCGGTCTGTATTAAAATTCGGGCGGATTCCGGTCTTGTCGCTTAAAATCCTGTCATATGGTAACCCTACACGCGAATAGATTCTTGTCAGTTTTCAATCGGACTTATTCTGCATTCATTACCATGTAGTCAACTTACTATTTCAGTGAATTATATTGGTTTGTCGTGTGTGTTTTCTAAGTATTTTTTTTTAATTTTATGCCTACAAAATAGTTGCTACCGTTTCTGGTTATCGTATTCGCACCGTACCGTTAAAATTTTAAATATACCTCGAATTGTAAAGAGGGCATTACGCCAGTCAAATGAAATTCAAACATCAAATTTTTTTCCATTAAAAAAGACTTAATAAATTATCTGATGTCAATTCTTGTATAGCTTTTTTTTTTAGTTTGTATGTTATATAGTATTCTCTGTTAATGAGGGCTAATAATCTTCCACTCGCCAGATGTCGCTAGTGGGGACTGAGGTGAAGTTTATTGTTACACAGTGTCAGTTAATTGAGAAGTCAGGTCACTAATATTAAAGAAAGAAACATTAAACCTCTCATTTTCCTAAAAAAAAAATATCGTCCCCGTTATGAAATCTGTCAAATATTTCACCTCATTCCAAAGTGGCGCCATATTCATTGACTTATATTGCATAATATGTTCAGTTTAGCTAGTTTCGAGAGTTTTTGTTATTGTTGTTAGTGATAACAGAATTGCCAGCATTCGTTTTCAAATATATTCCAGATTTCTTTAATATAATGATTTTCCGCAAAGTAGACGTCAGTTCTATTAATTATCTTAAAAACAAGGCTACGTCAAATTAACAAAACTTAATCGTATTGCTGCCCAAAATGTTTGGTTCAATCAGCGGTGCAAATAATTTCATGTTATTCAAAAAGGTTTTTGCAGTTGTGCGCGCATCACGGAAAAACTTCTGGATAGATTTCAATTAGGTTTAATCTTATGCACTTGGCCCTTATCTAAAGAAAAATATTGTTGCGATATCTTCATTTAATATAAAGTTATTAAAGTTTTAAGAAACAACGCTTTTTATACGGGGCTTTTCACACGGTCAATCGCTTGTTCTCGCGTTACTAACCCAGATAATTTATATATTTTAGCTACAAACGGAGCAACGACTAACATTGTTTACAAAGAAATCCTGTGAGCAAAGTGTATTTTTGCTTGCGATCTTTTTGATGTTTTTCCTTCGCACATACGAAAATTTTGTTAATATATTAAGCAACGTGGATGAAGTCGCGGGTATCAGCTAGTTCAAAATAAGTTTACTGACGTTTTAAATAACAGCTTTTTAGCTATACGTGGGTAACGATAAACGTTAGAATATGTCTCTAAAGCAATGTGTTCGATGAAAGTTGGATGGAACAACTCGATGATAAAACGAAGTATGTATCTCTGTATCTGTATTGAAACTTGAGAAAACGTTACAGATAATGTGCACAACGAAACCCTGACCCGTGTCCCATCACCACTTGACGTTTTTTTTTAAATTCTGAAATGTAATTTATTTATTTATAAAATTTTTGTAATTTATTGTGTGCGAGATAAACTAACTGTAATTTGTTTGTGAAGATATTATTATGATTAAGAGTTCATATAAATAATTATTTTGTTGTTGTCTGTACTTTTATTTCGAATATTACCAATATGCAAAAATAGAAAAAAAATATAATTTTTCACATAGGTATTTGGTTTTATTTAAAACTTTTATTGCTATTGCAATATATACTCAGAAGAGAGAAGAAATAACTTTCCTTCAGACAATTCGACCATAAAAAAATAAATTACATTTAAATAAATTTTTATTTGGCAATTTTGTACGAGGTGTTATTAGGTACCTCTGCATTGGCCGATGAGTAAGAGTATTGCCAAAGGCTGCCGTTACCGATGCACGTGTCAGTTAGAGGTCATAAAACCACAAAGATTAGATAAAGTGATTAAAACCACACACAATTGGCAAATTAAAAATTATATTCATTTAATTTTTTTATGATCGAGTTTTCTGAAGTTATTTCTATGTGTCTGAATACTGATTCTGATTATACACTTAACGGGAACCACAAGGTTTTTGTTACATCATTATCATCACAGCCCTTCACAAGTCTACTGCTGAACATAAGGCTCCCCACATCGAACGCCACAAGGCACGGTCGTCACTCCATCTAGTGAGGGACGCCCTACACTTCGCCTGCCGCTACGAGGCCGCCACTCGAGAAACTTTCTTCCCCATCGGTTGTCGGTGCTTCGAGCTATATGGCCAGCCCATTGCCACTTCAGCTTACTAATCCTTTGGGCTATGTCGGTTACTCTGGTTCTACTGCGGATATCCTCGCTTTTAAGTCTATCACGCAAATAAACCCCGAGCATAGGCCTCTCCATAGCTCGCGGAGCGACATGTCATCACTGGTATTTTGTATATGATATCACTATCAATTAAAAATGTGCTTTAAATTTTTTGATATCAAATATAAATGGCTAAAAAACAATTCTAGAACGTACATATTATTCCTCATTATGGATAGTTAATTCTTTTACATCAAACAGTGACGACGTCAATCTATATTTTTTTTAAATGTTATCCACTCTAATAATTCTTTCTGTATAGTGGCGCTGTTTTACAAACATACTCCAAATAATAATTTGTAGGCCATGCAAATACTTGTTCCGTTCCTGAATTCGAACCCGCTAAAACGGCTCTTACGTATCATCGAAGAGAATAATTCCTATTTATGTAGGTATCTAAAAGAAATGAAGGAATATCAACGTAGCCTGATGGACTATCTACTCTGCTGCTCAAATTTGGCCGACTTCCTCCCTATTAGTGGGAACATAGCGAAGGCCTTCGATCGGGTTTGGCACAAAGCACTTCTTATATACCAAAATTGGTGAAATATGTGATACTTTATTATTTCATACGAACATCTTTGTACCATATTTCTTATGAATAAATGTATTATTATTATTATTATTATTTCGAAGCTGCCTTCCTATGGGCTTCCCGAGAAATTGTGCAATTGGATCACCAGTTTTCTTGCAGATCGGAGCATCAAGGTCGTAGTAGACGGTGCATGCTCCGATTACAAACCCATTAACGCTGGTCTTCCACAAGGCTGCGTGCTGTCACCAACGCTGTTTCTTCTGCATATCAATGATATGTTGCAAACCAGTAACATTCATTGCTATGCGGACGACAGCACTGGAGATGCTTTATACACCGGCCCTCCGCCACCGGGTGTCTGAAGTCGAGACCTTGTTGAACAGTCTCAGACTGGGGTCGATTAAATCTAGTCCAGTTCAATCCCCAGAAGACACAAGTTTGCGCATTTACCGCTAAAAAGAACCCCTTTGTCATATTTCATCAGTTTCAAGGCACTCCCCTTGTTGCCTCAGCTAGTATCGTCGATATATCGTCGGATGACGTGCAGTTTCGTGGTCACTTGGAAGAGAAGGTCAAATTGGTCTCTAAAAAGCTTGGCGTGCTCAGCAGAGCGGGACAGTATTTCATGCCGGCACACCGCTTGCAACTTTACAAGGCGCACGTTCGGCCTCACATGGAATACTGTTCCCATCTCTGGGCAGGGGTTCCCCAGTGCCAGCTCCTTCCACTTGTCGTCGACGACCGAGTTCTTTCTGATCGGCTTGACGCACTGGCACTGCTTAGAGATGTTGCATCTCTTTGCGAATTTTATCGCATCTATCACGGGGAGTGCTCTGAGGAATTGTTCGGACTAATTCCAGCCGCTCAATTTCACCATTGCACATCGCGATAAAACTCGCGATACCATCCATACCACCTGGAAGATTGGCGATCCACCACTGTGCGATTTAGAAGTTTTCTCCCACGCACAACTTCTTTGTGGAATCGATTACCATCAGCGATTTTCCCGGACCGATACGACTTAGGGACCTTCAAGAAAAGAGCTTACTCCTTTTTAAAAGGCCGACAACGCATCTGCAATTCGCCTGGTGTTGCCGTTGTTCATGGGCGGCGGTAGTCACTTACCATCAGATGAGCCGCATGCTCGTTTGCCCCCGCTCTTATAAAAAAAAAGCAGATAGTAGCATATTCCTTGGTTGGAAGGTTCTAAAAGATATGTACATTAAGGATGGAAATACACGACCTCTACAAAGGCGCGCCACTTACGCCGATCCCGATTGTTAAAATCGCCACAGCATAGAATAATTCATCACTACTGTTTAGTCCACTGCTAAATAAACGCCACTCACCCATATTTGACACAGTTGCCGCAGTTGATCGGGTTGGCCATCGCAGTTTTTTATTACTTTGAGTGGTTATAAGGAAGTTATATTCTTTTCTGCCGACTTCCAAAAAGGAGACGGTGCTCAATTCGACTGTGTTTTTTTTTGTGTGTTACCTCATAACATTTTACTGGGTGAACCGATTTCGATGATTCTTTTTTTATTTGAAAGCTGGTACTTGTCGTGTGGTCCCATATAATTTGATCAAGGTCAGACCAATAGTTTTTGAGTTATTCTTAATAACTTATATCGAAGTCGGCTGTACAACATTTTAAATTACACGATATCCACAGGTCACCCCAATGACACGTGACCCGTAGCAACCAATAATTTATCAAATCAAAGGGATCAATTATGATTTTATAATCAAAAGATCAATAATTATACACATAATATTCAAATAATTTATTTAAACATTTACTATATCTATACACAATATATGTTAAGCTTCTTGACTATTAACATTTAAACCTATCTATGATTTCTATCTAAACAGTCTCAACATCAATGATTATCATATTAAAATAAGTACACATAATATATGGTCACTTTCTACATCGACATTATATAAATCGAAAGTCCGGAATGTTTGTTATGAAGATTACATATAGATTTTTTGCATTACTTCAAATTGGGGATCAGAGTGATGCAAAATCAGGCCTATATTGGAAAAACCATGTACTTATTCGGAAATAATTTTAATAGATGAGGGAAAATCTGATGTATCTGGCTGTGAATTGGTGGAGGAACTAATGAGATAAAAGATCTTCAATCAGCAGAGCCACCTAAAGTTCTCAGACTTGTTAAAAATAATGATTGGCGGGATATTTTCACGGATTTGTGGACAGCATTTCGTATCTTACGGACTATACCTGTAACTGTCGCTAAAGGGTAATAAAGTTTCAGTAAACTAAGACTTATGAAAACTTACGTACGTTCTACTACTGTGTCAAGGAAGACAGTCAGATCTTGAAATCTTGTCCGAAGAAAATGTCCACCCAAAAATTTTGCTAGGGCCGCCACTGGTTCTCTCTGACAGAACTGTGTAAAATGGTAAGTTTCATTTAAGAATTTCTTAACCTTTTTATTCGTATTTTAAAAACACAGAATGAAAATTCTAATTACAGGTTTCTTAATAAATTTTATTGCATTAATGCAATTATTAGAATTTTCCATCTCATGAGCCATGGGAGCTAATCACCCCGCCGGCACCTTGGAAAGTTAAAAAATAACGTTCATGAAATTATTTTATTTCTTATATCGAATATTAAATATATCTTTTCATTTTACTACCTAAATGGTTAATTGTGCTGGTTTACATGCTTTGTGGTGAAAGAAAACATCACGAAAAAACCACTTGTTAATATAAAACAAGGACTCAACTGCTCTAGAACAGGAATAAATTAATCTACTATTTCTAGAGTAGATATATACAATTAAAAAGACATTTTGGTATTTAGATTTCAAAACAGATTCTTTTGGAACGACATCCAGACAAATGTATTATAATAACATATATTTCCATATAGAACAATTTACAATATTTAAACTGTATAATGATTTACAATTACAACAATAAGATAATCACTTTGCATAAAACATTCCACTTTTTACAAGACTATTCATTAATAATAATTATTAAAAAGATATTGTTACAAAGACCACGAGAAGGGGATGACGCGACCCGTTGTACAGATTTCTAAACATTTATTAAGATTTTTATTATTAAATATGACATATTTTTAATTCTAACATTATTCTACGACATAAGAGAAACAAATAAACATAATAATTAGATTTTCTTTAAAGTATATACATTTGAATGTTAAAGTGTATGTTTTAAGTATACTTATGATAATAAACTAAGGTTGTAGTTAAATATAAAAAAAATATATGATATTATTTAGAATAAACAATACTAAGTTGGACATAAAATAGGTCAATTCAAGTCAATATAATATATAGCTACGATTTCGTATTTTATAATAAAGTAACACTGAAAGTTTTTGTAACTGGCCGAAGTAATGATGCCATTTAAAAGAAATAATTTAAATTTGGAATTTAATGTCCTCCAAATTGAATTTCGGTCACGGCGGCCAGTCTCAACGGAGATTAGCTATCTGCGGAAAGTAGGATTATAGTACTCAAATGTATGTGCAAGCACAGTTGCACTAACTACTCCCTCACACTCATGGCATGGACACCGCCAACATCCTGACTCCGGGCTACTACAGAGAATTTCTCTAAGTTAACATTAGTACAATTTCGATTCTCAAAAACTTTCAGTGCCATCCACATAAAAGTACCATATTACATAAAAGAACTGAATTCATTTAATAGTCGAAAATGAAAAATA